ACACACACACACACACACACACACACACACACACAGGAGCAATCATCTCTTGGGAACCAAATTTCCCCCTCAAGGTATAAGACCTTCTTCAGAGCAACCACATAGAACAAGTGCTGAGATAACCATGCACCAGACCCCTGCATGATCAATATTTCCCATCCTGCTGGCTATGCAAATGCCGAACACTTGCCTTTGTTCCCCTTTCTATAAAACACCAAAATTTCTTTTACCCCCTGGAAGACAGAACTTGAGCCTCTTTATCATCCCAGCATGATAATGCAGATTAAAGCTCCTTTCCTAACCTTCACCAGGGCTCTTCTGCTCAAAAGGTGTTTTAGAACAGTGGCTATGCACTTGGTCTGTTGGGACCCAGGGGCCACAGCTTTTACCCTAAAACTTCAGTAATACTATCAACATGGCAAAAACAAAAAATATTGACAACAAAATTCACTATAGAGAAGCAGGTTTTTATGGGTGGGGACAGAAAATTGTATAGTCGTTTTGGAAAGAAACAGGAAAATCTCCCTAAAAAATTAAACATGCAACTAACTACCAAACAACCAAGAAATTAACCTCTTGGTCTCTTATCACTGAGGAACAAAATCTTCAATTCACATGAAAGCCTGTACATGAATGTTTGTGGGAGTTTTACTAATGGTAATCCAAACTGAAAGAACCAGATGTCCTTCCTTCAGCAGCGAATGATTAAACAAATGTCCACACCATGGACTACTACGCAGAAATAGAAAGAATGAACTGTTATTACACACGCAATCTGGATGAATCTCTCATTATACTGAGTGAAAAACTCCATCCCATAAGGCTACATGCTGAATGATTTTATTTCTATAACATTCTTGAAATGACCAAATCATAGAAATGGAGAACAGGGTCTTAGGAGTGGGGTCTGGAAATCCAGCAGGGAAGGGGGTGGTTTTGTCACAGGGTTCCTGCCAGACACTTGACTCTGGGAGTCCTCACAATCTGGATTCAGTGGCCTGCACCTAGGGTCTAATTACCAAAGAGAAAAACGATGATGAAACAAACTAAAAGAATTTATTCATCATTTGGTCAAAATGAGAAGATACCCTGTTTTCCCCAACCTACAATATCATTAGAATTTTATATTAGGAAAATAAAAGCCAAGAAATATATATTGCATGTTAGAAGGCTGGTTTGCAAGTCCAGTTTTATCAGGTTCCCTGGCATTGACACATGGAACAGTTTCTATTCTCAACATGAGATGGTGCTGGAAAGGAAAAAAAAGCTTAAAAAGTACTTCTTTAAATTTTTTTTTAATTTAAAAGGGGGCCTTGTTGCAGTTTTTAAAAAAGGTAACTCAGGATCTTAAGAATAAGAATATTTTGTATCTTGACAAGTCAATATCATTACCCTGGTTGTGATGCTGTACTATAATTTTGAAAGCTATTAATTCTGCAGAAAGCTTAAGCAACAGTAGATGGAATTTTGCTGTGTTATTTCTTGTAACT